ATGCCCTAATTTTGTGAGAAACATGCAAGAAAAGATATTATTTTTAAAAATAATTTTACAAAGATTTTTCATCAAAATTTAGTTTTTGAAGAGAAATGAGTGTAAAATTTCACATTTTGAGAGAAAACTTTATACACAACTATTTCTAAAAAGAATTCTAGAGAAAGAATTTCAAACATATTTTCTAAATGCCCTAATTTGCTGAGAAACATGCAAGAAAAGATACAACTTCGTCAGATTATTAGCATTTGACCAAAGAAATGACACGAAAAGTTACGATTTTGACAGAAAATATTAAAAGAAAAATTCAAAAATGTTGAAATGTTCTAAATGTCCTAATTTGATGAGAAACATGCAACAACAAAAACTGAAAAATAATTTTATAAAAGCTTTCACCAATTTATTAGCATTTGACCAAAAAAATTATAAGATAAAAATGATAAAATGATAGATTTTGACAAGAAAACGTAAAAAAAAATGCACTAGTTTGATGAGAACTATGCAGGAAAGATACATTTTTTTAAAATCTTTTTTGTGTAATTTTTTGTTAAAAGGCTAAAACATTTTGACGAAACCTTTTGTAAAATTATTTTTCAAAATGTTATTTTTTCCTGCATTTTTTTTCAAAATGTTATTTTTTTCTTGCATTTTTTTTCATCAAATTAAAATATTTTGAGAAATGTTTTAGAAATTTCTGGTAAAATCCTAATTTCATGTCAGGTTTGTTAGGTGAAAAATTATGATGAAAATCTTTGAAAAAAACAATCAAATCTCATCAAATTAGAGCATTATTATTATTAGAGAAAAACATTTTAGAAAACTTTTTTTTTTAATTTATCTGTAAAATCTGTAAAATTTCGTATATAACATGGCTAATATGGTCAAAACTTATGGTGAGATTTTTTGGAAAAAACCTTTTGAAAATTGTATTCTTTTATCTGCATATTTATGATCTAATTAGAGCATTTTGAAAAATTTTGAAAAAAAAATGAAATTTTAAGTAAAATTCTAATTTCACATGCCATGTTGGTCAAAGAGTGAAAAGCTTTTGATGAAAACTTTTAGAAAATATTTTTCCAAAATTTTATCTTTTCTGCATATTTCTCATCAATTTACAGCACATATAATATATAACAATGCTAATAACAATGGAAAAAATTGCTATAGTTATAATTGCTATAATTTCTATAGAGACATACACAGACAAAAATTGTAGTATATAAGAATTCCTGTGATATAAAATGAAATGTGGTTTTAATTATGAGTTCTTACCGTCGAGACAGACGACAGAGTAGGAGCTAATGGCGGCATATACGAAAGAGAAGGAGGGAGGGAGGAAGAGGAGGAAGGAAGGGAAGTGATCTGGTACTGGTGCTCGGACTGGGGGTTGCGGACCCCTGATCTATACAGTCTTCCATTTACAACCAGCCTATCAAGGGGAACTGTATTGCTGATGTGGCCCCCGGTGAAAATGAGTTTGACACCCCTGTGAGCAACAATAATTAAATAGAGAGTGAAGTCATTGGATATACAGTAAGTGTTATGTGCCCAGGCAATAAAATGAGATTCAATACAATTTAAAAATTTAACATCATCCATATTTACAAATAAATCAAATACTATAAGGCTGCAACCAGGGCTTCAGACATTCCAACAGTTATTAATTTATATATGTAAGTACGTTGCCCTTAACTGTACTGATAGATAAATTAAGACAACATTAAAATTATTAAGTCAATGGAGATTATCTCATCTGAGTCTTTGTTAAAAAAAAAAAAAAACACTAAAAAAAGCTTTTTTTGGAGGAGCTCACCACACTCTCACTCATGCACTGAATCACATGACGCCAAAAAAATGTCATAAACATTTTGTAGCAAACAACACTTGGTCAGTGAAGCACGGAGTTCTCCTACCGACTCGTGATAGTAAACCTACACTCTCCCCTGTCACATGATTGTTGGGCTTGTGTCATATCCTTCCTCATTGCACATTTCTTTTCTTTTTTTCTTGTCTGTGGCTTCCTGAGAATCCAGCTGCTAGTTGAAACTTGTTGCTGCAAATTAGATATAACTGGTGGGAAGTGGCCTGTACTCACACTCCACAAGAAAAGTCTCCAAAGCAGAGGATCAGGAGCCGTATTACTGCAGACCTCGTCTTGTGCTGAAGGTGAACATGTCTTTTATACTCACCCGACAGGTATTCATTAGGTTAATAATCGCCTCCCAAGGCTCTTCTAACTTTGGCTAAGAGTTGGTGTCGAACAGCAACTAACTGCATGCTGTAAAACTGTGTGAATAGAGTCACCTCTTTAACTGAGTCTGGTGTTATTCTATTCAAATGTTAGAATATTTCTTTGTATTTATGACAAGCTTGTTTCTCAAAAAAGGAACGACTACTGGTCATAATTTTGGTAAATGTTTATTGCTCAACCCCTTGTGACAGTTGTCTCAAAACAGGAAGTGTGATGTGTAGAGTTACAACAGTCATTTATCCCTGATTTTCTTTCATTGTAAAATTACCTGAAAACTTACTGCACTTTGAGACAACAATTACATTATGTTTACATTTTTGTATTTATGGGACTTGGGTTTACTTAAACAGGATGAAACCCAGTTTCATATTATTTACAGAAAAACATTTCTTATAAAGCTGTGCTAAAATAACAAAAAAAAACTATCCCAGAAAAAACTCATTGTCGGCTAACAATATAGCAATAATTGCTGTAAAATTTGAATTTTAGCTTAAAGTAAGTCAAAGGCAAAATTGAAAAACATGGTAAATAAAAGATGTTGCAGCATCCTTCAGCACAGTCCAATTATTTCAAAATCTTCTTTTTCTTTCAGCTTTGTCCCTTTTTCAGGGGTTGCCACAGCAAATCATTGATTTCCATCTCTCCCTGTTCTCTGTATCTTCTACTCTGACTCCAACTACCTGCATGTCCTCCCTCACTGCATCCATATATCTCCTCTTTGGCCTTCCTCTCTTTCTCCTACCTGGTAGCTCCATCTCTAACATTCTTCTACCAATGTATCCACTGTCCCTCCTCTGCACATGTCCAAACCATCTCAATCTGGCTTCTCTAGCTTTTTCTCCAAACCTCTGCACATGTCCAAACCATCTCAATCTGCTCAATTATTTCAAAATGATTTAAAATAAACTTCTATCTCATTGATAGTTTACGATACCCTTTTATCACTACACTAACAGTAGACAGACAGAGCATTTGCTCCTGCCTCATTACTGTGATGATCACTGATGATCTGCTGTTATTATTCAGGGACTGATGTGCTTTTCAACACTGTGTAGTGCAGCAGGAGGCCTGCTGTGTATTGTTGGACGTTGCCAGCTTATGGTGGTTTTTATTAGAGCTACTACTTAATCCTGACAAGAGCATGAAGATCATCAGCAGGGCAGGTTTCAATCTGATAATCTCTCATCATCGTCAAAGAGGCGTGGCTGCTAACAGAACGACTGATGCTGTTGCAGTCACTCACATACCTTCATGTCTGATCCTCCTCTTTTGTCAGGTTCTAGTGTGTCTTCCCCAACACAAGCGGTGTCTCTCTGGGCTTTGCAAATCATTTTTATAATCACCTTAGGTGAAATACCGACCTGTGACGTCCTCTTTTCCTCCTCACAGTCTAGGATGGCCTCCTTTGGATCTTGTTTGTGGTGCATCGTCTGGCTGGTGATTCTGCTGTTCATCGGCTGGCCCATAGGCATCACCCTGGGTGGTCTTTATGGCCTCATCAGCCCCCTGACCACCTGCCTGGGCCTGGACCGACTCTCAGATCTGCTCCTGGAGGGGGCCAACTTGGGCCGAACCTGTGCCAACAACATGAAACATTGTAAACCTCTGTGTTGAGGTCGACCCCGGGGTTGATCAGACCAGAGTCTTCAGATACCAAAGGCATGGTTGATGTATTTATAATTTCTACTCCACAGTTAACACCTGTTAACATTCTGACAGCATGCAGTCACGAATGCTATATCAATCATGTAAGAAATTTATGATAGTTATTTACACAAAAACATTTGCCTTGTTTAATTAACAGATTATCAACTGTGGAACTCTGTAATTAATTAATTAATTAATTAATGCTCTATAACTGTTCCCTTTCTCTTTGTCAACAATTTTATTCAAATATATTTGTTAAAAAATATTCCATGTTGCTGTCGCTTTGTTTGCCTCAAGACTTTAAGGGGCCACTGGGTAAAATAACCACATGGTCTTAAAACATAAAAAACCCTGACAACTTGTTGTAGTGACAACAATTAGGAAAGCTAAATAAACTACACAGGGTTAGAGTATAATGCCGGTGATGCCTTCCTGTCCTAGGAAAAAGTTTAGTTGCAGGCACATGATCGCAAACAAATCAGTTGTGAGGTGAGCACAGGGACCAACAATCTGAGCTTTTACTGACAAATCATCTTGTCTGCATTTGATCATCCCTATTCATAACCAAATTCATCAGTTTGAGGCACGTGACCTACTCTGCTGCCCCAGGTAATTTTCATGTACACTTAAAAACTCAATAGCAGTGATGCCTTCACTGTGCTAGGAAAATAGATAGTATTGCAGCAAAAACCTCAAGCGTCCTTGAAATAGTTATTCAAGTCAAATCAAGTTCATGTAATAACTATAAATGCATCATTACAGCCACTATCTCTTCTTCAAAGTGTAATTTAAATATTAGTGTTCACAAAGTCACTTCAGTTCACGTTCTCGTTTTTTTAATATCCTGCAGTCAATGTATTTCTACTTTCAGGCACTTTTTACTGCATCCTTAATTTGACTTTTAGTCAGACCATTAGTCCATTAGATATTGTTTTTTATAAGACTTGTTTTGGCTGCATTTTTATGAGGCAGCTTAGCTTTGCTTTGAGCGACTCTGAAGGGACAAATAAAGCAAAGAAACTTTTTAAAATTAAATTTCATTACTAATTAACATTGTTTTCTGGGGTTGTTATTTTGTCCTTGAGTCACATTTGACTTCACCGTTGGGTCAGACTTTTTTTAAAATGTAAAACCATGTATTAAAAACACTGGCACTGAGGTGTCTTTAATGTCAATATCTGTTGAAGTCAGCAATTTGTGGTTTTATAATTCTGCTAAAATAGATAATTAGGTGTAAATGCTTTATTATTTAGTTGGTTAATTCAAATCTACACTGTTTAAGGAGCATATATATATATATATATATATATACACACATATATACATACATATATAAACATTTAGAACAATTCACACTGATTTGAAAATGTTGTCTGATTCAAACAAGCCTAAACTCATAGATGTTTTGTCTCTTAGAACAGAGGTTTAATGTGGTCAGCGTGCATCACAAGATTTATCTGTGTGTCATATTAGAGCTATTTTTTGTCTGCCCTGTATCTGGTAGCCTTGATGTTGAGCCAGGGACAGAGAGAGAAGCTGCTCCAACTGGCAGCAACCCCACCAGAGAGGCAAACAGTGGAGGAGAGAGGAGACAAGCAAAGGCCTCCCCACTTAATTAACCACACACTGCTCTGTGATTTACCCTCTCACACACGCACACATGTACACACATACACAAACACACACATACACAGACTCACAAGGTGAAGCTTTTACTGGTAAATAAATCTCAGGCTTTCTGTTGGGAAACTGACTCTGTCCACATGAGGAATAACTGGGTCTGGCATTCAGTTCCCTAATGAAAAATGTATTTTTTATATTCAGTTAGTAGATAAAAAGTTTGAAATAAAGTTGTTAGTTTATAAGTAATATAAATATAGTCATAGGTTTACAAAAATAAAGTTTTAAAAAATTAGAGAATAAAGCTGTAGCTTTACAAGGATAAAGTTGGAATTTTTACAGGATTAAATTCCCAAATTATGGAGAATAGAATTGTTAGTGTACAAGAATAAAGCCTTCGGTTTACAAGATGTAAGTAAAAAAATCTGGAGAATAATTTTGAATATTAACTAGAATAAAGTCGTCAAACAGTGGGGGGCAAAGAAAACATTTTTTTCTCCTGTCTCATCAGCATCAGAAACCTAAAAGATGTTTTTCATCATTTTACATTTACACCTATATTACGCCGAATATTAAGTTTTAGAATGGAAAAAATGCAGCTCGGTAACACACGATAGGTCTGCCCCTCTATTTTCATACATTTTAGATGAAAGACTTAATCAAAAAGAAAAATTAACAAACTGAATAATTCACTGCTTTGGAAAATATTCTGAAATTGTTTATATATGATGTTTTCCATTCCAATTTCCAATTATTTGGTTTATTCAAATATTCATGTAGTTGGTTCAGATTTGATTGGTTTCATTATGTAGTAGATACAGTTGATGCAGTGAAATGATAACAGGCTAAATTCTGCTGGACAGACAACTTTTAGACCAGACTCAAGTCCACTATGGACAGAATAAAAAGAAAGGACTCTATGCCCAGAGAGGTGAGGTCTGTGATTGGAGAAGGAGAGGACAGCCATGTTACGCAAGGAACACCATCCTCATGGACAAGCAGAAGTGGGAGAATAGTCCTGTTAGGATGCTTTACAGCAAAGAAAATCGTGATGGTGTGGAAAAGAGAGATCTTGGTAATTGCTTTGTTATGAATCACTACAATAGTTGTGAAACCTCCATCAAAACAGGTGACACCTGAAGCTGCATGATATTGTATATAATTTTCTATTGTAATTCTCTTGTGTGAAATTAAGACCAGCATCCAGGCCAGAAGAACATCAAATCCAAAAGAAGGTTGAGAGGTTTATCATTTCATTCATTTCTATCTGTGTTTTGTGTAATTACTTTAATTTCTTTTCTAAATTAAATGTTGTAGGGTGATTTTAAGCTAGTATGTTTATACAGTAATTGCTGCATTCAATTTGTTACAAATAGGTGAAAAAAAATGACTTTTATATTCTGACCTGCACCTGTTTCATAGTCCACAGCCACAGTGCTGGAGATCACAGCACTGCTCTTTCAGTTACGCAGCAGGCGACTTAAACATAAGCCAGTAGCTTGTCCCTCAGTATTCGGAGCATGGGGCCAGAAAGAGGACACCCAGTTTTCACGGAGCTTTGTGTCTTCTCTCAGCCGTGACCTTTAAACGGCCCCTGACTCTCCACACAGATGGATGTGCCACATTGGAAAGAACAAAGTGCTTTCGCACCATTTGTATTGACCTGGCTTTTGATGAACAGCTCAAATGCTACAATCCAGCACTGGGACATTTCTATATATGTGCACGTTATTGATTTAGGCACAAAACCTTGGCTGCATCAGGCAAATGACTTCTCCCCGCAGGGTTTTAAAGGGTTTGTACTTTGTTTATGATGTAAAAATCTCATAGAAAATCAATATGTTTTTTGTTCAGGACACTTTTGTCCTTATTACCTCATCTCCACTGCTGAGTACTGAGACACATCTCCTGAAGGGGTTTATGAGCAGGAGGAGAATAATAGTGCCACAATGATTTAATCTCAGCAGCGGCGGTGGCAGCTACGCAGAGTGAAAGTCACCCAAGAACCTTAAAGTGTCTAATCCAGGATTTGGCTTAAGCCTGTCTGACCCATGGGTGTTGGAGAATTGAAGACAACAAATGTTTTACTGTTTAACATCCACCAAATATTACAGTATAATACACTAAAAATTCAACATTATTATATAATAATCTTAATATTTCAGCTCTTCTCTGACAGTTCAATCTACACCGGTTATAAAATATCAGTATGACTGCTGAGAGAGGACCACAATCTCCCATCCATTACATAAGAGGAAAACAGAGAGTCACACAGTGAGATGTTATGGCTGCAGGTCAGCTGATAGCAGCATATGATTCATGGCTTACTGTGACCTTTTGTCTTGTCCTCCTGATGGTGGGACCTACAACTGCCCTCAGCCAGTGTTGGTGCACAGCCTTCACAGACTTTGTCTCTGTCTCTACGAGGCTAACTGAGAAATTCTTCTTCTGTGTTATGGTCTTTTTTAAAGTACATACAAAAGATAGTGTCATATGTACAAAAATGTTTTTCCAAATTTGACAAGATCTTTGTGTCAGAGTACACCAGAGGCAAAAAACTAAAGCCTTTTTACTAACAATTTGGTGATATTCAACATTTGTTAAATATTTTGTGACAGGTTTCTTTTGTCTAAGAAATGTTACGGAATATTGGCACAACATTGAGAACAAAAATTCTGTTACAAAAGAAATTTATGAGAATAATGTCATAAAGTTACTAGAAAAAGGTTGTATCATTTATTTTTAATTCTCAATAGAACTCCAGACGTCCACGTTTGAGCTCCGGTCGTCACGTGATTCGCTGTGTTTACGCCGCCATATTGGCAGTAAAAGGCCGGCTCAAAATTAATGGAGCTGGTAGTGTTTAAACCTGGTATGCTGACATTTATAATTACCAAACAAAAAAAAACTTTCCCTCTTCCTACATTGGAGAATCCCTCAAATTATATAAGAGCTGGGAGGAATGTAAATGGACTCAATCTGGCTTCGTCAGCGGTATCAAGGTCTGACCAACGAGTAGTGTAATGTAACGTCCGTGTGACTTACATAAAGAAAATCACGTTTTAATGATTTTCTTGTATATGTCCGTGTGACTTACAAAAAGAAAATCACGTTTTAATGATTTTCTAAAGACACCATGTCATACGTGTAACTCTACGAGCAACAGCAATTATCAGACAGCTACGGTCATTAGCAAAATTCACGACATAATGCATTTGTCCAACCTGCAATTTTATAGCGCACATAACACGAAATAAAGTAATTTGAAATAAGCATGACGTTAAATATATAAATATTAAATACTGTACCTTATACAAAGTCATCGTTGCATAAATGGAAGTTGCCGGCGGGGTCCCACGACTGCGGTTTTTTCTGTTGACTTCTGCCTCATTTATTTACGTTTATTCCACTTTTGTCGTCTATTAGGGTCTTTTGGGATCTCAAAGACACCCGTCCCTTCACTCGTCCTCGGCTGTTCTGGTTTTCTGGGGCACAACAGCCATCTACCATACTTATTTAGTTCTTTGTGTTTGTTCATTTTTACCTGTTGGCAGTGGCGGTGTTTTGATTTTGAGTGATGCATGACGGGATGTGTGACGTCAATTTCCGGAGTTCGATATGTAGAAAAATACATCAGCTAAAATAGAATTTGTTTAAATGTAGTGTTTATAGATTCACAATAAATAAAGATTCAAATAATTTATAAGAAATAAGATTATTCGATTGTTTTAATTAGTATTTTATTATGTAGACAGTGTCAGTACTATGGTTATTGCATCACTACTAAAAAATAAATAAATGCCATCACCAGAATTGAAACGCTATTATTTTATGTAAACTAAATATGGCATTGGTGCGAAAATGTCTCCACAGTGGGCTCAGACTGGCACATTAACACACACAGTTATGTTGTATGTACTTCAAACTGTACCTGACAGTTTGTAAACTGTCTTTATTCTTGGGGGCATATTTTCACCTGAAACCCACAGAGAAGCGTCTGATCCCCGACAGTGACTTTGGGACAAATATGAAACCTGAGGTTTAGACTGAAGCAGCTGCCGACACCAGCTGTGTCACACCAGTTGTTTCCTCATTTGGTTCTGCACCGCTACATGAGTTCTGCGATTCTAGTATCACAACACACTACAACACTGTATTTCATGAAACCGTATTCACATTTAAAACATACATTTTAATTCTTAAAGTACAATATTTAATAATTAGAAAAGAACAATTGAGGTTGGTTGAAATGCAGAAAAAAAATATTTTTTTTACATACATCCAAATACGTCACTTAGAAGGAGTATTACGGTGGGTTTCTTTCTTTCTTTCTTTCTTTGGGGTGTGTGGGGGGTATGAAAAAGATCAAAAGGTGTCCTTTAATTGTCTGTCTCTCCTCTTCGCTGTCCTCCATACATGGGCTGCAGGGACACAGGGTTTCCCCTTCCCTCGTCATGCCATTCATGGAGTGGCTGTTGTCGACAGAGCAATGAGTAACCAAATATGGAGGGTGGACTCACAGCTCTGCCCCACGTCTTACACACTTACACACGGGGTATAAATTGGACCAAGGTGGCGTTTCTGCACTACTGGAATACACACTCAAGACTCAGTGCCTGGTGCTGAACTGGTGAGTATGTACAGAGAGGACCAGAGGAAACGACGGACGAACAGATGCCCAGCACTTGATTTAAAACAATGAGATACAGGACTCTAACCTGAGTGGCTTTGACTTTCACCATTCACTAACTAAATGTCATGTCACTAAAAAGTATCATCTCATCACTTCCATCTGTACTCCGTTATTAATTCACCATGTTAATAATATCACCCATAGAGGATACAAACAAAGGAAACCCAATCAGAAGCATATGATTTTTCTATAACGACAACTGTAACTAACTAACAGTCCCCTGACTGATTGTGTGCCTTGATGATTGCGTGGATATTACTTCCATCACCCTGTTCAAACAAACACGTTACGATATAAAGAAACCACTGTGCGTGTTGCAGAGCTGACACCATGTGCGACGACGAAGAAACCACTGCCCTCGTGTGCGACAACGGCTCCGGTCTGGTCAAGGCTGGCTTCGCGGGAGACGACGCGCCCCGCGCCGTGTTTCCGTCCATCGTTGGTCGCCCACGTCACCAGGTAACGTATATGTCCATCAACAGAGTCGCTGGACAACTATAAGTTTGGGATATTATAGGACATGAAGATGTAATAAAACAAAACAAAGTTGTTGGATAACTGACTATTATCCCTGCGTAATTGCGCACCAAGATAACAACACGTGTCACAGGGGAAAACGTGCGTCATTGGTGCATAATTACGCATAGGCAGAACAAGTGCCAGTGCAAAAGACTATGGTAAGTCATTATTATTAGCTTTAAAGGGGAAGATGATAGGTGACACTGAAACCACAACTACCAAAAACTCCCCAAAGGCTCAGCGGCGGTCATCCCCCCAAAGACGGAAAATTAAACATGAACTCTACACCAAATTCAGGAATTTCCAGAACCAGAGTCACTAACGAACAATGTTTCGAATTTTAGGTAATGTCACATGACTACATACACTGCTATGGTTATTTAACAAACTTTTCTGTTACCAGGGCGTCATGGTTGGTATGGGTCAGAAAGACTCTTACGTCGGCGATGAGGCCCAGAGCAAAAGGGGCATCCTGACCCTGAAATATCCCATCGAGCACGGCATCATCACCAACTGGGATGACATGGAGAAGATCTGGCACCACACATTCTACAACGAGCTGCGTGTGGCTCCTGAGGAGCATCCGACATTGCTGACCGAGGCTCCTCTGAACCCCAAGGCCAACAGGGAAAAGATGACACAGATCATGTTTGAGACTTTCAACGTCCCTGCCATGTACGTGGCCATCCAGGCAGTGCTGTCCCTGTACGCCTCTGGTCGTACCACAGGTATGGCACATGTTCCAAGCACAAAAACAAATGTTTTAAACATTGGCTTACCCCCAAAGACGGAAAATTAAACATGAACTCTACACCAAATTCAGGAATTTCCAGAACCAGAGTCACTAACGAACAATGTTTCGAATTTTAGGTAATGTCACATGACTACATACACTGCTATGGTTATTTAACAAACTTTTCTGTTACCAGGGCGTCATGGTTGGTATGGGTCAGAAAGACTCTTACGTCGGCGATGAGGCCCAGAGCAAAAGGGGCATCCTGACCCTGAAATATCCCATCGAGCACGGCATCATCACCAACTGGGATGACATGGAGAAGATCTGGCACCACACATTCTACAACGAGCTGCGTGTGGCTCCTGAGGAGCATCCGACATTGCTGACCGAGGCTCCTCTGAACCCCAAGGCCAACAGGGAAAAGATGACACAGATCATGTTTGAGACTTTCAACGTCCCTGCCATGTACGTGGCCATCCAGGCAGTGCTGTCCCTGTACGCCTCTGGTCGTACCACAGGTATGGCACATGTTCCAAGCACAAAAACAAATGTTTTAAACATTGGCTTATGATAACTGAAAATTCACGCATCTATTTTTTTTGCCAACAGGTATCGTGTTGGATTCGGGGGACGGTGTGACCCACAACGTGCCCATTTATGAAGGTTATGCTCTGCCTCACGCCATCATGCGTCTGGATTTGGCTGGTCGTGACCTAACAGATTATCTCATGAAGATCCTGACTGAACGTGGTTACTCCTTTGTCACAACTGGTAAGTGAGCCTTTAACCATAACCAAAACGCGTTCTTACTCATTTTTGATGAGATTTGACTAACTGACCCATTGCCACCGCAGCCGAGCGGGAGATTGTGCGTGACATCAAGGAAAAGCTGTGCTACGTGGCTCTGGACTTTGAGAACGAGATGGCCACCGCTGCTTCCTCCTCCTCCCGGGAGAAGAGCTACGAGTTGCCTGATGGTCAGGTCATCACCATCGGCAATGAGCGTTTCCGCTGCCCGGAGACACTGTTCCAGCCTTCGTTCATTGGTGCGTGAGGCAGATAACAACATTAATTGATCATTAGAAGATTCAATGAAACATTTCATAATTCCAATATAAAGCATCAGCTTAATTACCTTGGTTAAACAACTGTTTAAAAAAGTTGTTCCCAGATGAATGTTCAAAGATATGCCATAAAAACTTACACAATGTTATGAAAATTATGAACTGAAAGTTTGTATATATTGTTACATACATGCATGTAAACATCCATCCATCCATCCATCCATCCACACATATATATGTATGTATATACATATACATACATATATTTTTTAATACGATATAAAGTATTCATATTGAATGGGAATACAATTTAAACAGGCTTTTTTGACCTTATTGTTTTACAACAGTAAGCTTGCTTTAGTACTCTCACAATGTTTTCAGTGGATGGTGTTCTGAAAATAGAAGTGTTGATTGCTCATTTCGGAGGTTAGCTGCCAAAGTAGGATCATTTAGTGGCGGTCAAAGTGCAGCTATGTCAGATTCAACACTTGTGACTGATAAATAGACACCAGACATGTAAATCAGACGCTTATTGTTCACAGAGAGTGCAGCTGCCGGTGGAGCTGTCCATTTCAGCACCTGTTAGAACAGCTGAAGAGTGGATGAGGTCTTTATCGTGTGTGTCTGTGTGTGTGTAACTTGGCTTCCATGTTTGTTTCCACAGGCATGGAGTCAGCTGGCATCCATGAGACCACCTACAACAGCATCATGAAGTGTGACATTGACATCCGCAAAGATCTGTACGCCAACAACGTCACGTCTGGCGGCACCACCATGTACCCTGGTATCGCTGATCGCATGCAGAAAGAGATCACAGCCCTGGCTCCCAGCACCATGAAGATTAAGGTAACTGTGGCTCAGACTGACGTACACAAACACCACAATGTTCACAGTCTCGCCAATCCCAAATAGCATACTGGTGAGGTACTGTGTCATTGAAGGTCAATACAAAAAAGACTTGGACTTGTTTGATAGACAGTCAAAATCATGGAAATTCTAATGTCTTAATTATAAGTTTAAATCATAATATTAACAAAACACTGGAAATATTGAGCTTAGAAAAGAGGGAATCGAGTGACTCAGAATATATGAGGTAACCTCTTAAAAGTAAGAGACAGTGAGTCATTAATTTGTTCTAGAATTAAAAAATAGCTCTACAGTAATTACAACACTGAAAGTTGCAGAACGTTTATATAAAATGAGATACATTAAAACATTACAAATTCCTGCAGTAATATTTTTGCGTGTGTAGATCATCGCCCCACCTGAGAGAAAATACTCTGTCTGGATTGGAGGCTCCATCCTGGCCTCTCTATCCACCTTCCAGCAGATGTGGATCAGCAAACAGGAGTACGATGAGGCCGGACCCTCCATCGTCCACAGGAAGTGTTTCTAAGCAGCGGGCGACTCCTGTCTGACCCAGAGTACCTCGTTACTACTGAACTCTCTCTGGCCAAAACTTAACACACAACCAAAAAGATGAGAGGTGTCAGTTTCTGGAGACAAAGGAGTCAAAAATAAAACTTTAGAGATTATTTCTGTGCAGCTAGCTTGACCCAGATCAGGCTAACAGTTAGGCTTAAGTAAGTCTGGTTCAGTCAGTGTCACTCCGATCACAGTCTGAAGTGGTTTATGACCATTTCAGGTTCTACTTTTTCATAATAAAAAAATAAAATACCATGTTTAGGAAGAAATATTAGGAACAGCAATGAATAAATAATAAAACATAAAAAAATACTCAAAATTCTGACCATCGGTCCATTCCAGTATTATCACTATACTAATTGTTCATGTGAAATATGGTTTTAGAATGGTAATATTTGAGGTTTTAGATGACCACGTTTTATCCTTACACTTATTCAGGATACATCACATAAATTATTACACAGTGACGCAGCCTAATGGAGTTCAGTTAGAATCAAATTCTAATTATGTATGTCCTTAAGGTTAAAGGCCACAGGTGAGTCAGTCTGACAGGGAGGCTGAGGCTGTGGCTCCACTTTAGTTCCTGGAACTGTTCTTTTTTATATGAATGATGAAAATGTTTTGGTTTTTTTTTGCAATGTCTGTTTCCCCCTGTAAAATAAATGATGAAAGGTGTACTTATTTATTTATTTTCCAATTCCAATTTCCCAAAGTCATCCTTTAACGTGCTTGAGTTACATGTTAGGTAAGTTACGATTTCCACCAAACATCTAAATCAGGTCGACCCATGGCTCATCACTTTGTGTTGAACTTTAAAAACTACATTTGTTTGGAAAAGGTAAGAAGAAAAGACACTTTTCACCGTCTACAGTTGATTACATTTTGAAATGTCTAACACATTTAGGGAAAATCTTATGCAAAGGCAAAGAGTGAAGTCATAAAGGTGCTGACATTTTCATATTCAGTCATGAATAAATAAAACGGAATTATTCTAGTAGCTAAATGTCAAAGTAGTCTCATTAGGCTCAGTTTAATATAAAGAAAGATTTTGTTAAATATACAGTATGTGATGGGGGTCTGTGTACTCTGTCTCCATCTGAACTTTGGCCTAAATATGACCCCTGGTGGTGCTGAGAACAAAGGAGCGTAAGCTTAGCACTGATTAAACAGATTGTTTCAATACTAAACTATAAGGGTGCAGCCATATGCAGGCTTCATGCAGAAGTACTGTTCACCTATCAGAGCCAAGCTCATGAAGTAGATGAAAAAACATGTTTTATGGTCAAATATATTCATTAATTCAAATATACTTCATCTTATTATGGTAGAAAGAAAAAATGACAGATTTTACATGAAAATGATGAAACATGTTATCAACATGAGGTGCAACAAGTGGTAGTGTCACAGTCAATGGTAGTCCTGGCCCTGGTATCTGCCCATACATGTTGACATCATTAATGTAGCCATTTTTCACATGTGTTTTCCATGTAACTTTATGTCATCTCTCATCTACAGACATTTAAGAAATTGTGTGTTGGAACCTCACTGGTCTGCACACAGTCCAGATGTATCTCCTATACAAAGTTGTTGGCACCATATAAGCTGTGACCACATGTAACGTTACATTCAAGTTGTTCATGTACATTTTCAAAATTCAGATTTTGTGTCCTCAATATATATTTATTTCCACTTTTTTCCTTGAAGTAGAATTGAAAACTACTACAGTATATTTTAAACCACACATCAACATGTCAATCTACATACATGCAGTGTGCAACGTCACAAACTGGGAAATCCCATTATGGAGGGGGTTGTGGTCATATGTTTTACTTCTATTTTTAGACTGAGAGAAAGAGAGAGTAAATGATGAGCAGCTTTATCATCAGAGCATCATCTTTACTGGGTCTGTGCCCAAGTGACAGAGTCAGTTCAGGAAATGTAGAGTCGACTCTTTATATAAAATGGACATTTAACAGAACTGAGTGAAGAACTGAGTGAGATTTACAGATTTAATAATTACCGATGGTTACAAATATCAGACAATGACCCTGTTCATTTGAACGACGTCCACGGTTCGGGTTCTCAGTAGCTGTAATGCAAACGGGTTCAAATGACTTATTCTGAACTATAGGAGCCGCAGGTCAGGACGAATGAACTGGACCCAGTGTCCACGGCAGTGTCCGCTTATGCGCCAAATTGAGACAGTGAAATCAGAAGCCCTGGCTTCCTCCTGGCTTCGCTCCACCGACCTGTCTGCACGTCTGTGACGCACGGGGGAGGGGGGGAGACTACTTAAAGGCGGATTAATGCTGGAAAGACATTAAGTTCAACCTGCCTCCACCCCGAAACAACCATCAACCTGATCTGGAGATCGAAAATAGGAGGGCTTACACTAATCAGACTCCTTCAGACTCCCCCATGACGAGGAAAGGTGTAGCAACGCGGCGGAGGCGCTCGGCGCACACACAGCAGGACGCTCAGCGGCGCTGCGCGCTCTGCGCATAACCAAGCAGAGAGCGCGCAGTGAGGCGGAGAAAAGCGGGGACGGAGACAGCAGCGGCAGAAGCAGAAACGGCAGCATCAAGTGACATGCATTTTTCAAACTAAAACCCGGACCCTTCTGAAGCTGACAGTGAGAAGAAGAGAAGGAGAGAGAAGCGGAACGGGAAATAAAGCTCTCTTTTTTTTGGAAAGGAATTGGACAGAGTGCCGTTGTGCCCTCGTCTTCTCCGGATGATCAGAAATGGGGGAATGGACTATACTAGAGAGGCTCCTGGAGGCTGCTGTCCAGCAGCACTCTACTATGATAGGAAGGTAAGGTGATCAGCCAAAATCCAACCAAAGAACCAGCAGAAGAATCGCAGCAGCCTCCAGGATCGTCTTTAGCATGGCCCCCAATCCCCCGTTTCTGTCTTGTGCCTCCTGGATCGTCTTTGTGCCTCCAGTCGTTCCTTGGTGTCGTCTGTGTTGTGGATTTTTGCTGTCTTGTTTCACAGTTTCCCTCTGTGGTCCTCCGTCACCTACTAAACAAGACAGCAAGCGCTGGATGGTGCTGCGAAAATACAGAATCACACTAAGTCCCATCTGTCATTTCATGTCTTTTCATCCACATCCACTCGATCCATTTCGACGTTTGGTGGTGAGTTTGAGTGGTGGTTGTGCACTGAAGTGATGGCCATGAAAAAAAAAGATTTGAGTGAGAGTCGGGTTGTTCATATATTTCTATCACAGTCAAAATAAAACTACAACAATTCTCCACATGTCATTTCAGCCCATTACACCAGAGAAAATACATAAAACACCAATTGAAAAGGATGCGCATGGGGAAGAGCGCCCAGTTTCAGCACTGGACAGCTCCCCCAAACCACTCAGATTCGGACTGTAAGCGCTTTGGCCAGAGAGGCAGCGCACAACTCCACCGCCACCACATCTGTTACCAGTCATTTCCACCTATTTTCACCATGTTCTGCTTGTGTCCTTGCTCTTCTCTAGGATCCTACTAACAGTGGTGGTCATCTTCCGGATTCTAATCGTAGCCATAGTTGGAGAGACTGTCTATGACGACGAGCAAACCATGTTCGTGTGTAACACATTGCAACCGGGCTGTAACCAGGCGTGCTACGACAAGGCGTTCCCCATCTCACACATCAGATATTGGGTTTTTCAGATCATCATGGTGTGCACGCCGAGCCTCTGCTTCATCACCTACTCGGTGCATCAGTCCGCCAAGCAGAAGGAGCGCCGCTACTCCACCGTGTATCTGACCCTGGATAAGGACCAAGACTCCCTGAAGCGAGACGAGAGCAAAAAGATGAAGAACACCATCGTGAATGGAGTACTTCAGAACACGGAGAACACCAAAGACCCCGAGCCGGACTGTTTAGAAGTGAAGGAGATCCCTAGCTCGGCCATGAGAACTTCAAAGTCCAAAATGAGGCGGCAGGAGGGCATCTCCAGATTTTACATCATCCAGGTGGTGTTCAGGAACGCGCTGGAGATTGGCTTTTTGGTGGGCCAGTATTTCCTGTACGGGTTCAACGTCCCGTCCGTGTACGAGTGCGACCGCTACCCGTGCATCAAAGACGTCGAGTGCTACGTGTCCAGACCCACGGAGAAGACCGTGTTCCTGGTCTTCATGTTCGCCGTGAGCGGCTTTTGCGTGGTGCTGAACCTGGCCGAACTCAATCACTTGGGCTGGAGGAAAATCAAAACGGCCGTGAGGGGCGTGCAGGCTCGGAGGAAGTCCATTTACGAGATCCGAAACAAGGACCTGCCCAGGATGAGTGTGCCCAATTTCGGACGCACTCAGTCCAGTGACTCTGCCTATGTCTAACACTAACACTGTGGAGGAAGCTGTGAAAACACATAAAGTAAAGAAACATATATGATGATAATGATGATGATGATAATGGACATGATGGACAGAACCGCACGCCTAATTAATGTCATGACTTTAAAAGTGGGCAGATTTTCATTTCTTGTTGGTTTATCTTTATTTTGACGGACTTTAAGGAGAGCGTGGCTGACGCACGTTTGTTTCTCTCTGTATTTATTATTGCACTGATGCAACTTTTTTTGGTAACGTTTGTACTCTGTAAGATGCAAAATGATCTTCACACATTTTACTCTCTGTGGGCTGTTCTGCTGAAAGGAGTAAGAAAAAAAAGGAGAATTGCACTACGGGGTGAACACTGGAGAGCCTGTCCTTACTCCACAATCTGCGTCTGACCTGATGGTGTTTCAATCTCCACCTCTTTCTGGCACCGACCCAGTGAAATGGCACCAACCAAACACAGTGGTCAGAGGAGGCATCTCACCACCCGAGGTTTAACACGGTTCGACCAGCGTCGTTTATGTGGTTATTTGTTGCCTGTTGTTTTGTTGCACCACTGACCTTAAGTATGTAACCATTCCATTGCTTCATTGCTGACCTACAAACAGTATCTGGTGAAGTCTGCTGCAAATGCAACGCTACAATGTCTGTGGATTTCCTTAATTTCTAAACACACCAAAGCGCCCACTGCTTTAATTTGTCAAGCGTTTTTCTTGCTTTCTTTTGTGTATTCAAGTGCCATACTTGTATATAAACATAATATATGTATACATATAAATATACAGATATAAATATATATAGTATTCATCATCATGGAAGCCGACTCCCTGCTTGGATTTATGCTAAATGCCGCCCATCTTTTTCTATTACATTTGCTTTAAAATGTATTTGTTGTGATTTAAAGAAAAATAATGTTTTTTTGTTCTAATTCATTTTGCAAATGACTGAAAAAAAAGATATGAAGTGCTAGTCTTTTTTTATTAATATAAATATATATAAATATATCTATAAAAGAAGGAAAATGACTCCACCCCCCACGGACACAGCTGGAAGAAACCAATAGCACAAATTTGACATTTTTATCAAAGACTGGGCAATAAAAATGAAATCTGCTCTGGTGCTACAGTTTTTTCATAGAATGGTTTTAAATGTAACCGAAAAACAGAAAAAATGGAAAACAGACATCGATGACTTTTGTTTGTTCCTTTTCTGTGGAAAATAAAAGTGGGATTCATGTACACCACCACCGTGTGAGGTGCAGTCCTTGTGCTGTGTCTGCTCTGCTCTGACCGAGTGTATATGCATATGTGGAAGTTTTGTCTTGGTGCAGTGGAGAGGTTAGCTCCGCCCACTCTGTAGGAGGGGGAAGAAAAAAAAAGCTACTGCAGGACACACCTTGAACAGGAGCTCATCACTCTCTCTGCAATGTGTTGCAACACAGATACCGGCTCCATGAGACACATCAATACTTATGCACCATCACAGCCGTGGCCTGAGGGAACATTTAGTCTATATGGCACACATGGAATCTGCTCCTGTTGTGGGTCTCACACTTTCAGGGCCTTAGTATGGGTGAGGTTGTGCACTTTTGAAGGTAAGAAGAAAATTTGAAGAAAAAGAGGAGCAGATGACAATGAACGATAGAAATGAGGTCTTTGTAGTCGATGTGTTTTGAAGTGTTTTTTTTTCTTATGAACACCAGGATGACTCTGCAAACACAGTAGAGAACGATGAGCAGCAGCAGCTCCGTGCTTCCATCGCCAACTCAGCAGGCACCTGTGATTTTCTCCCTAATTCATGAACATGGAAGACAAAAAAAGAAAAAAAAAAACACAGGAGAAGGAGTTCACTGCCAGATTCACTCTGATGCAATGCAGACTGCAGAACTTTTTTGCATCCTGTTTTTTTTTTTTTTTAGATTTGGTTAATTTAATAAATATAAATTAACCATATAATTTAATACATATAAATACTGTAAAATATATTCAGTTTCCAGTGCAGGTTTATCAAAGTTTTACATCTGACATTTTTATTTCTGAGCTAATCTGTAACTAATTCCTTACCTAGTTTTTAGGATATTATGCAAATAATTTAACCTTTCTAACATTTAGCTAAATATCTGAGGTTATTAGTTATTGCAGGAATTATTCTTTCTTTACAGTTTAGTTTAAACACTTTTAGCAAACAGTGCACTTTCTGCTCTAATTTTTAGTTATATTTGGCAAATTTATTTTGTAATATTTATGTATTAATTTCTGGACAAATCTCTGGACAAAAGTAAAAAAAAAACAACAACAATGTTTTTATATGCTTGGTTAACTTTAGTTTTTAAAAATCTCAAAGCACAAATTTAAACTTTTTCGAACTTTTACTAAGTTGTGGTTTAGCTATTTTTGATTAACGTTGGGCAACACTAAGGTTTTTTGCAAAGTTTTAGCATTTGTATGTGATTATCACATAAACAAGCTAATGAAAAAAATGGCCCATTATTGAATGAGAACGTAAGGGGTTCTCCATCACTGTTTCAGTGCTAAAGTAGGTAAACTCAGTGTGAATGCTGAGTTATAAATGAAACCAAAAACCACACCAACCAAACATCTTTTTCAGAACAGTCGTATCAGAACCTGCAGTTCGTCCTCTGTGTGTTAAGCTCAGCAGAAACCACGTCGTACAAACTTGTCTGGACATTTTTAGTCAGTTACGATTACAGTCCACATCGGGAGAATTTGGCTGTCAGTTTGAAATACAAACACGGCAGAGATCCCCACGCTTCACATTTAGACACTGAAGACTTTCTGTGCAGATCCAGTCGCCGCAGAGACCTGAGAACGGCTGCAGATCACACCCAGGCTGCACACCAGCTATTTTAGGAGCTGGAGTGACTGCAGGTGCAGAGATGAAGACAGGATCTTCAGAGACGTGGACTCGTCTCTATTACGGGCTGCAGTAACAAAGATCAGGAGACAGATTCAGATGAACGAAGGGTTTTTATCTGGGAACAACTGAAGGGAAAGAAAGATTTCACCTGTCAGTTTTTTGATGAGCAGCTTTGTTCTCTTCATCATTAACCAGTGCTTTTTTATTTATATAAAAAAAACGTTCTGCTGCTCTGAATAAATTTCACACCTATGTCTGCTGCAGAATTTCTTTGTTTTATTATCGTTATATTATGACTATAAAACTTTGCTTTGAATCAGGCTTGTTCAAAGACTGGCTCGGGACCCGTTAATGGTACTTCATGGGTTCTAGTTGACATTTCTATGAAATACAAATGTAGTAAATTTCACCACCTATTATCTCTTCCTGGTCCGACTTTTAACTTTCATTCCTAACTTTTCGCTTTACCTTTCCCCCTCATATTTAGCCTGTTACGTTGAGTGTTTGTTTAATGTTAAACAGTTGGTTTGAAATATTTGGCCAACTTTGACGTCATCTTTTACACTACATTTAGCTTGATGTCAACAAATTTATTTTATTTATTTATTACAGCTTTTTTACTTATTTTCTTGGTTTTTTGCTAACTGTCACCTTCACTCGTTTTACATGTTTTTACTGCAGAAAGTCCTGGGCTCTCTTCACATTTATATTTTATACTAACATATGTTTTCCACATATAATCAGAACTTGTAGAAACTCATATGTTTTTATTTCATTGATGAACGGGTTGTTATACGTTTTCCACATATAATCAGAAGAACTTGTAGAAACTCATACGTTTTTATTTCATTGATGAACGGGTTGTTGTTTACTATTGAATATAAAGTATTTCCTCTCCCTGTTGGATCAGTAGTTCCAGCTCTGAGATCATGTAGAAAATGTGAGAAAACAAGATAAACTTCACCTCTGACCACCACGGCTCTCAAACATGCATGTCCTCTTCCTTTCTTTCCACTGTTGAACCAGTTTGAAAAGAGGAAACCGACTTTGTTGCTCCGTGTTTTGCACAGATTAATGCGTAAAAGAGGGAAAGTAAACACTGAACGCCGGTCTTTTTGATCCACTCAGCCAGAAGAAATGGAATTAGCCTGGTTACAGCAGCACTTTCACTCAGCATGGTATGGCACAGTCAGATATGGTCGACACAGGGAGCAAAGATATTTGATGTTCACAACCATGCAAAGGAGGAAGCAACACATTTCCAGTGTGACAAAGGGTTGGAGCTTTGTGTGTGAGCCAGAGAAGTTACAGCATCTGCTGCGCTCTGGCTGTGAACTTTTCTCCCTGAAGCCTGGCTTTACACAGCGGTTACAAATTTGAAATGTGTGAATTCAGTGAAGAAAGAGACCGACACCTGGATCTTTAGGAAATTAATGCACATTTTGATTTTCCTTTTTTCTGTTGGTGATGATTTAAAGTAGAAAGTCACATAAAATGTTTTTTATGTGACATAATGAAAAACCTTGATCGTAATCATAAATAATTCAAATAACACAAATTTTATAATTTTTATTTTATAAATAACACAATTTGCCCGAAATAAAAGCATTTATAAGTAACACAATTTGCCCGAAATAAAAGCATTAAACGTGTCAATTCATTTGTAAAGTTGAATCTGATGAAACATTTTTATAAACATTTGAACTTCCTTTTCAATGTCCTGTTCTTCTTGAATCAATTCCAAACCCTGTCACTGCCACCAGTGCAATGACCAGAACATGACCTCATCTATACTGATGTTAAGTTTATTTCGTCTCATGTGTATTTCATGTCCTGCTATATGACAACATTTACTAAATTACTGTTTATAGGCCATTGTTTTTACATGTATGGTTAACTGGCAAAAATCCCTGCCACTTCAATCAGTTTTAAGGGGGACCTTCCAGTTGGTGGTGATGTCACTGTTGTTTCCACTATTTTAAATGCCTTATATCCTTCTTTGTAACCTTTTTTTGACTGACACTATTGAAAAAATGGCAAAAAACAAACAAAAAACAACTCACTATAACAGCTTCCGATGCTAGGTCCGCTCTCAGAACATCAATCAAAACATGAACAGAAGGACGGGGATCATTTTGGCACAGCCTGAAACCAAGGATCTGGTTTGATTGCTGCACCAGGCTGGTGATGGAAACAACCTGAAAAATACACCTGACAGACCTGGGAGCAGATTAAACTCTCATCCATTTTTTTAATGTGACTTCAGGATTAAGAGTCACCAGTGGATTATACACAGATTTGCCGACCCAAAGTTCACTGTAGGACAGTAAACACCTCAGTGAGGACACACTGCACCCAAACACAGACGGGACACAGGAGTCGCCTCCTGTTGAGGCTCAGAGCAAGAGAAAATACACCAGGCTGACTCTGCTGCAACTTTTAGAAAAATAAACAGTGACTTTCCTCATCTGCATTTTGCTGTCTTTACATGACAGTTTTTATTTTTTATTTTTTACCTGGCTGCACCAACTGTCTCCAGTGAGGTAGTTTGTCATGAACGCAAAACAGACGTCAGCAGAGAAAACACCCAAACACCCAGACGACTTCCCATCAGGTTACAGCTCACTCTGACACCCACTGCTCTCTTCTAACTTTCTGCACCGACACGGTCTCCTCCTCTGCATTCTCTAATAGCTTGTACTACACGAAACACATCGACCCTGACAAATGTTTAGGTTCTGCGCCATTACGCAGCCAATAAAATCAGCGACGGGCGAGTCCTGAATCAGACCCAGACACAGCGTTTGGCAGCCAATTCCACTTGTACCAACACACAGTCGGAGGCAGACGTTTGCAGAAGTGCTTAGAAAGACGGAGGAGGCAGAGGGAGAGAGATCGTAACTTAAAACTGCCCAGAGTTGGACGCTATCACACACAGAGGGGGCGGGTGTGAATGACTGTGTATGTGCATCACAGAGTAACACAGTGATGTGAAACAATGCACGTCTAGTTGTGTGTGTGCAGCTGCAGAATAAAAGCAACTCCTTTGAGTTCGTCATCTGTGCAGCCGGGAAGATGTAGTCAAACGTAAAGACATTATGGAAATCCAACTATCTGATGGTAAAGTCTGATGCTGTTTGAGTTTAATGGGAACGTCAGATAAAACAACAAAGAACACTTCTCCTCTTCTTCTTCACTTCTTCTTCTTCTTCTTCTGCCTCCTTTTCTGATCATCTTCTGAGCTGCACTGGTGTTCACCCTTCAACTCTGAATAAACCGCAGAGATTTCTGAATTCATCCTTTTTTCATCTCTGATTCTTTAGGCTCATCGTCGGTCAGGAGTCGAAGTGGTGAATTACATACACATATCGTCAGCAAAGAAGGGGAGAAGAAGGATGTGTGGGAGGAAAAAAGGGGGGAGGAGATGCAGGTAAGTTATTCTGCTACATCTTCTTGCTGTTAAACTACAGCTGAATTCACGTTTTATTTTCATTCGTTAGGAACAAGCTGAAGTTCTGGTTTTCTTTCTTTCTTTCTTTTTTACAAAACAATTACAAACAAAACACCAAAAAGACCTAAATCAACACTATTGTCAGCACTTTAATGTAACTTTAATCCAAGCACTCCTCTGCCTCACTAAGCTATTAATTACAGGATGATGAAGCATTGAGCTAAGCTGAGGGTTTTTTAAAATCATTTTTGTGCTGCAGTGAAATGATCTATGATTCTTTTTACATTTTTCTTTCTCAGTAAAATTTAACCTTTACAACAGCGATATCAAACTC